TAATTCGAAAAATAGACCATTATAAAATTCATAATAATCTATTTTTCGAATTACAGGTTTTCCCTTTTCGTCACTCAAATATAAACATATGTAGAATTTATCATCTTCAAATAACAAATATAAAAACAATGATTTTACCTATTTATTTAGGACAATTCGCATAAAAAAAAGAAAAACTTACAATAAATGAAAACGGATAAAATATAATAAAAATAAAATAAAAACAGAAAATTTAACTGACATAAAAAAGTTGAAAATTAGTTATCCAAATAATTGTATTACCATTTAAGCGCGTTACAACGCGTACATGTGTGTTATTTTGGAACACGTATGCGCGGTAATTCAAATTATTATACTAATTTTTGAAAAAAAAAGTGACAACTACTAAAACCTTCATTAGTGCATATGTGGGGACATGTTATTTTGAGACACATACGTGTGCTATTTTGAATCTAATATGCTTTTTTAAGAAAGAAATTTCAAAATAACGTCCATGTATGTTATTACATACTTATACGGTTGGCTTATTTTAGCCAAAAAGAAAGTTTTAATATGATGTTTTTTCCGAACATAACAGTAACGTTTTAATAAATTTAAAATTTTGGTTTTGATTATAAAATTGCTCATATAACTTTTCTTTTTCTTCAGTTTTTATGGATGGAAGTCTGTCAAAGTTTGTTTTAATAATTTTAGCCTCATTTAACCCATCAGGTAAATTCCCTTCGGGTGCACGTTCACTAAATTTTTCATTAATTACTTTATGTGGCACTTCTTTCCAACCACTTGATAAATTTGCACTTACTACAGAACAACTTGTCTGAACAGCTAAAGTTATGCCAAAGCCCGCTAAGGCTGCAGGAACACTAAATGCTAATGGACTTGCTGCTAAACCTAGATCAATTAAAATTTTTTCGAAAAAAGTTTTTTTTTGCAACTTCTGCAGCTCCTACTGCGGCACCTGTAATTGATAATGTTGCTGCTGGTGCCACTGTTGCTCGTGTTGACTCTAATAATCCATCCGCTACATCACACTTCTTAGCATCAATTTCTTTAATACCTCTTAATGCAGGAAATACTCTTTCATTAATGTATACTCCACGATATTTTGGTCCATTTTTTCCACCAAGGCCTGGCTTTCCTCCTTTTCCATTCGCTCCTCTTTTACTTTCTTTAAATATAATAGGAGTTTCAAATAATTTGGATGAGCTATCAAGTAATATAGTACCAGGTTTTCCACCAAAACCGCCTATTCCTCCTCGTCCAGCATTTCCTCCTTCCAGTCCTGGATTAAAGTATTCATATGTTTCTTCATGTTTATCGTTAAAGGTTACCACAAATTTAGCACATTTTTCTGCACATCTTACTACTTTATCAAGAATTTGATCTTTTTCTTCGTTTGAAGAAAAAACTTTTACTTTTTCTCTTGATATAAGTTCCATATCTTCTTTTTTTATTAAAAATTTTTCTCCAAAATTATCACCATCTAATCCATCAGCACCGTTACCACCATCTTGACCTTGACCACCATCACCACCACTAACATTAATAGTTAAGGAAGAAAGATTAAAAAAGGTATTTCCTTTACCATAAAAATTTCCTCCACAATAGCCAGGCAGTCCAGGTAGACCATCTTCACCATTAGTGTCTTGTCTTTCAGTAGATGTGATTCCATCATTTGCTTTATTTGGTTTGTGTGAGAAACCAGAAATGCCTTTTAAATTAATTAATTTTTTACCCACGACATGCCATTTAGGAGATATTAATGTCAGATTAATTCCTGGTGCATTTATATCTTGGTCAATAAACAAGCTATTTAAGCTAATTACATTTATTTCAGACAGTTCTTGATTATTCATTGCAGGAATAAGGTCTTCAGTACCAATAATTATGCCTTCAAATGTTAAAAATTGTCCATGACCATAAATATTTAAGGTTGTAAGTATCTTTAACTCGTTAATTAATTTGGGTATATAATTATACCAACTACTAGTATTTCCTTTAATCTCAAATGATTCGGGTTTGACAAGTTTAAAGAAATTTAATAAAGAAATTTTTTTTAAAAGTTCTTTTTTGAGATCATTGTTTTGGATATGTTCGATGATTAAAAGAATTTGTTGAAGATTTTCTTCAAACTTTTCTGGTATATCATGTATGGTTTTAAATTTATTAGAAAAGTCAATTAATGAATTTCTCAATTCTTTAGCTGTGCCTCGATGTGTATCTATTAAAGTTTTATAATAATTTTGAATCTCTGGATAAAACTTTAACAAAATATAATCTTTTATATCATCATAGAATTTTTCGACTAGTTCATTGATATAAAGCTTTGATTTGTCATCCAATAAAACACTGGGCTCTAAATTTGTCAAGTAAGAAATCTTTCCTATACTCTCCAAGATTGAAAACTTGTCCGTATCGGATATTTGACCTTCTTGATCAGGAGCATTGAAAAATACTATTTGACTTTCAGAAGAGGATAAAAAATTGAGTATTTCTCTTTTGGGTTGACTAAAACTTTCTTGATTATCATATTCTTCAAGGATTTTACGGAAACAATTTCTTACTTTTCTAACATCAAGCTTATTGCTTTTTGTTATTACTAAACATAATCCCCGAACTAATTCTTCAGTATCTTTAAAAGTTTCACCCAAATTATTAATAAGATTTAAGAATTCTTTTTTTCTTGTACTTCTAATTATTGATTCAGAAACAACGAGTAAAATCTTTAATTTTTCTATATTTTTCACTAATTTATAAATTGAATAAGCATTCACAATATTTTGCACAGGACCTCGTGTGTCACCAAACCCAGGGCAATCCCAATATACTTCTCGACATTTTGGTAAAGAAGTTTGTGAAATAGGCCTATCATTGATATCTATTTCATTTGAATCTTCAGCGTAAATAATATAATCACCAAGATCATCTTCTCCACTAAACAAGGGAATCCCAGTTAAATATCCTAATAACGTAGTTTTTCCCTCTCCTGTATCACCGATAATTATAACTGCATTTTCTTGATGAGAAATTTTTTCACTTATTTCATTAAAGTGATGTTGAATTTCGTCGATTTCTTGGTCTTTTCTTAATATCATTGATGACAACAATTTCAATAAAGATAAATGGCTTAAACTTTTCAATACGTACGTACGTACGTACTTATATAGTATTAATCTAACTGTGTAACCAGTCCAATTGCTGTCATTGTTTCGAGTTTTAGAAACTGTGTATAACCAGTCTAAAGCATTTACATACAGTAACGGTAATCAGTACTCTACCCAATTTTATGACTTATTTAGTATTATACCGGATTTTTCAGATAATCACACTCTTTATATTTCCGATTATCGTTATCCATGATTTACTTGGTTAAATTAATCATGTATATGCACTTATGGAGGACGCATAAGCCCGGACTGCAAATCTTATACACGTGTAGAAAATAGAGGGCGTGACTTAACATTAAGTCCCAAGTTTGGGACCAAGCTAGAGCGTACATTAAAGACGGTATGCACTTATAGAGGGCAGATTTAGAGAGGTTTGACTGTATGAACCGTTCTGCGCTGAAGTATTTGAATCAGGTAAATAAAATGGAGATAATGGATGTTCTCAAGTGACTTAATTAATGGGTTAAAATATGCCGAAAATGTGTCGGGAATTAAATTTTAATTAACGGAAAGTATTTTTAATCGATCAATTGAGCTTGTCATTAAGATAAGTTAGGTAGTTTATTACGTGAAAGGAATTTTAAATATACAAAATGAACAGTGAGTTTATCATGTCAGTCAAAGGGTGTTCTCAAGTGCCTTAATCAATGGGTCAAAAAGTGTCGGGAAATTAGCGGAAAATATTTTAAATAAGTCATGCGTGTTGACAAGAGTCAACGGATCGAAAAGACAGGGAAGAATGGTCTGGGGTTACACGCCATGTGCTACAACCCCTGCTCCGATGACACGGGTCGGGGATCGAATGAGACATCAGACCGCAGGAATTTCATGCAAACAAAACGACGTAACTGAAGCCACCGACCACAATCAGTATTTAAAGAAGCGACAAATAACTTGCGATACTTTGCCCTCTTTCAACACAACAACCGTCTCTTTTTCTCGACCCAACCCTTCCCACCACACATAGTAGTCTCCTGATTCTGCCATTTTCCTATTTAACAGCCGGCCTGCTTCGAGCAGGCGGGAAACCACCGGCTGATGCT